CAATCCTGGAGTATGCAGCCCCAGCATGGAGCCCGTACCTTGTTAAGCACAAGACGAAGCTTGAAAAAGTTCAGAGGTATGCCACTAGGCTAGTCCCAGAACCAAGAGGCATAAGTTACGAGGAAAGGCTGTGGGAAATTCATCTCACGACACAGGAAGACAGAAGAGTAAGGGGAGATATGATCACTACCTACAAAATTCTCTGGGGAATTGATAGGGAAGATAAAGATAAACTGTTTAACACGGAAGGTACGCGAACAAGGGGACATAGGTGGAAACTAAGTACCCAAATGAGCCACAGGGACGTTAGAAAGAACTTTTTTAGTGTCAGTTGTTAACAGGTGGAATGTATTAAGCAGCGATGTCGGAGGCTGACTCCATACACAGTTTCAAATGTAGATATGATAGAGCCCAGTAGGCTCAGGAATCTGTACACCAGTTGATTGACAGTTGAGAGGCGGGACCAAAGAGCCAGAGCTCAACCCCCGCAAGCACAAATAGGCGAGTACAGGGTGCGGATATTAGGAGTGGGTACACAGGGTGCGGATACTAGGTGTGGGTACACAGGGTGCGGGTACTAGGAGTGGGTACACAGGGTGCGGATACTAGGAGTGGGTACACCGGGTGCGGGTACTAGGAGTGTGGATACACAGGATGCAGGTACTAGGTGTGTGGGTACACCGGGTGCGGGTACTAGGTGTGTGGGTACACCGGGTGCAGGTACTAGGAGTGGGTACACCGGGTGCGGGTACTAGGAGTGTGGGTACACAGGGTGCGGGTACTATAGGAACAAGCACACAGGTGCGGAATGCAGCAGCTGGAGGTACAACTATCCAGTCTCCAACAGCCGACAGCAATTTATCCAATTGGCTGCACGAACAGCTGTTTGGCCGGGAGTAAACAAGGCCGCTTTGTCCTCCACTCTCCCGTGCCTCGTGCACCCACCTGCTTGATTAACTCTTTCCGCAGGTGGTGACCAGCCCCTGCCGGTCAGCAGCCCCACGCAGGTAGTGACCAGCCCCTGCCGGTCAGCAGCCCCACGCAGGTAGTGACCAGCCCCTGCCGGTCAGCAGCCCCACGCAGGTAGTGACCAGCACCTGCCGGTCAGCAGCCCCACGCAGGTAGTGACCAGCACCTGCCGGTCAGCAGCCCCACGCAGGTAGTGACCAGCACCTGCAGGTCAGCAGCCCCACGCAGGTGGTGACCATGTGAACACCACCGGATGATGGCCAGTAGCAACACCCTGCCAGGACTGGTCTACACACACTGTAGTCAAAAAGAACATTCATGAAATTCCAAGAGCCGTCATATTATGATATACCAGGACTAACACCTTGATATACTACGACCAGTGCCCAAGCAAACACCCCAGTACCCAAGTAAACACCCCAGTACCCACGTAAACACCCCAGTACCCACGTAAACAACTTGGTACCCAAGTAAACACTCCGGTACTCAAGTAGAAATACATTGGTATAGCAGTCATTTTAAACAGCTGAGAGTAAGCACTAGCCAGAACATGAACCCGCAGACCTCGGGTTCTGGTCCGGACCTCGGCCAGACCATCACTCACCCCTCTCCCTGGTCCGGACCTCGGCCAGACCATCACTCACCCCTCTCCCTGGTCCGGACCTCGGCCAGACCATCACTCACCCCTCTCCCTGGTCCGGACCTCGGCCAGACCATCACTCACCCCTCTCCCTGGTCCGGACCTCGGCCAGACCATCACTCACCCCTCTCCTTGGTCCGGGCCTCGGCCAGACCATCACTCACCCCTCTCCCTGGTCCGGACCTCGGCCAGACCATCACTCACCCCTCTCCCTGGTCCGGACCTCGGCCAGACCATCACTCACCCCTCTCCCTGGTCCGGGCCTCGGCCAGACCATCACTCACCCCTCTCCCTGGTCCGGACCTCGGCCAGACCATCACTCACCCCTCTCCCTGGTCCGGACCTCGGCCAGACCATCACTCACCCCTCTCCCTGGTCCGGGCCTCGGCAAGACCATCACTCGCCCCTCTCCCTGGTCCGGGCCTCGGCCAGACCATCACTCACCCCTCTCCCTGGTCCGGGCCTCGGCCAGACCATCACTCACCCCTCTCCCTGGTCCGGGCCTCGGCCAGACCATCACTCACCCCTCTCTCTGGTCCGGGCCTCGGCCAGACCATCACTCACCCCTCTCCCTGGTCCGGGCCTCGGCCAGACCATCACTCACCCCTCTCTCTGGTCCGGGCCTCGGCCAGACCATCACTCACCCCTCTCCCTGGAAGTGCTCACACCAATGTTCTGTCTTCCCTATAGAAGTTATTATTTGGATTTCTTTTGCTTTTGTTTTCTCACAGTTTGAGTGTTTGATTCGTGAGGCAAACAGCTGCTGCCGGCGGTGATGGTGCTGGTTCCCGGTGCAACGCCTCAACCTGCATCAGGTATATATCCTCATCACTGGTGACCGTTTCAAAGTCAATTGATCTTACCCTTTATACGCAAGAGTAGCAGGAGCTATGACAAGCCCAACAAGTATTTCATTATTCAAAACTAATACAAAAGAAACTGTGTGGGGGACCAGGACCTGGGGACTGGAGGGGTGGGACGGGACAAGTAACACAAGGGGAGTAACATGGGGAGTTAACAAGATGACAGTGACTAGGACAGGTGGTGGGGGATGAACTTCATGTATGGCCTCAATATATGAGAGCTCGCCAGGTTCGGGAGTCATTACGTGTGTGGTTTAGCAGGTAAGAGTCGTGGCCCGGAGGCTGTAGCCCGCACACACAAGCTCACAAATGCACAAACACTGACGTTTTCATGCGGCTCAGCAGCTGACGTACAGGTCTGCCAGGGATGCTGAGTGTGCTGTAAGATCCACTGCCACATTTGCAGTCTTACTTTCCACAGGAAATTAAAAAAAAACGATTATCTGATTCGATCAATTTTAGAACACCTGCGATGCGAAAGGAACTAGTGTTGGTATATTATGTTACGGCTGCTGGTGGCACTCCAACGCTGATAGAACTAATACACTAAATGTGGAATAATTTTGTGTAATTGTTTCCTATTTATTTTAGGCCGTAAGAGAAACAGGGATACTCAGTGGTGCGCGTGGAGCTTTGTACAGGCATGTGATGAGTGTACGGATGGTCTGTGTCTGGGGGCGGTGGTCCGTCTGGGGGCGGTGGTCCGTCTGGGGGCGGTGGTCCGTCTGGGGGCGGTGGTCCGTCTGGGGGCGGTGGTCCGTCTGGGGCGGTGGTCCGTCTGGGGGTGGAGGTCCGTCTGGGGGTGGAGGTCCGTCTGGGGGTGGAGGTCCGTCTGGGGGTGGAGGTCCGTCTGGGGGTGGAGGACCTGCTGGGGGAGGAGGTCCGTCTGGGGGTGGAGGTCCGTCTGGGGGTGGAGGTCCGTCTGGGGGTGGAGGTCCGTCTGGGGGTGGAGGTCCGTCTGGGGGTGGAGGTCCGTCTGGGGGTGGAAGTCCATCTGGGGGTGGAAGTCCATCTGGGGGTGGAGGTCCGTCTGGGGGTGGTGGCGGTGGTTCGTCAGTAGGGTAAATTGTGACTATGACCGTGCGCACACCTGAGCAGGTGAGCCAGGTGTGGCCCACCATGCTCAGGAATCGAACAGAGGTGTCTGCTTCTGAGCTGTGCGAGCTCAACACTTAGTGGTTGGGAGCAGTGACTCGAACTTCTGGATTATACAGCCTGTAGCTTACTTGAGAGGGGGTGCTCGTGTGTTTACATCAGAGAAGCAGGGCGCTCCTGCCCGCTCCCTCCCCCCTATACTTAGCACACACCGATCACTTGACACCCCTCAGGACCGCTTTTTAGTTTAAAATTCTCAGACCGATTGGATGAAATAGCACCGACCATCATTCAATAACTCAGTAAAGGCAGGCAGTCAGTCAGTCAAACAGCAACAGTGGACTGTAGACTGTATCAGGCTATGGAGGATAGAATAGTTTTTTAGTTTAAAGTTCTCAGCCCAACTTGATGAAATAGCATCTACCATCACTCAGTATCACACCCAATATTGACAATATTAGTGCTATTCTGCGATATTAATACCATACTAAGCTCACAGTTTTCCAAATAAAGCGGGTTGTGATTATACGCTCCAAGCACAGACTCCATATCAAGGATGACCATATATAAATGTTCTGGTATCACGGCACCCCATGGCTGGCTGGTCTTATGTTATCGAGCACTGACCCGTATCCAATATGTATGTTTATACAGTATAGTGAGTTTTTGACCTCTGAACCATACTTTTAAGTGATTTTAAGTGCTTAAGGTGCTTTCAAGTGCTTAAAAGTGTTTTCAAGTGCTTAAAGTGATTTTAAGTGCTCTTACAAGCTCAAATTATAATTACATCCCACATATGTAATACAGAGTTGTCGCATTACATAGTAAATCCAGGGTACAGGTCCAGTATATGATCAAATGCTTCAGAATTCGGATAATATTTGCAAAGTTAAACACATTTCACCCAGGGGGTCCCATATATAAATGCCTCAATTCATCATTCATCAATGTTTAATGCTGCAGCTTTAACTCTTTTGTGAATTTGGTTGGTCAGTAAAATTTTCAGCTGACATTCTTTTCAGTATTATCTTTGTCACTGCTAATGAAACTTCTGTAAAATTCTGTAATACAGGTTTGCTACCGCTGTTTTGGCAAGCACATCAACATTACCATTTTCTAAGAATGAACGTATAAGATCAAGACTATTTTCTTATCTCCTAAATTATTCAATAGACAATCACTACTTTTCTTGGTGTAAGTACTATGTGGGCTCGTCGAGAAGAGAGCATGCCATTGTTTGCTGCCTGTTCCCAGGGCAGGTTTTCCAGATAACAAACATTAAAGAACGCAATAATAATTAAGCAAAGACAGTGAACCAAACAAGACGCAAACAAAATGGGAAGACACTATAACGTAAGCAGAAGAGGTCTCAAACAAAAAATAACCTTCATGTACACTAGGTAAATGTAAGCTCACCAGGCGGAGGCACTCAC